GTTAGCTATCCATTACTATCCCTGAGCATCCATAGCTATCCTTAGCTATCCATAGCTATACCTGAGCATCCATAGCTATCTTTAGCTATCCATAGCTATACCTGAGCATCCATAGCTATCGTGAGCTATCTATGACTATCCCTGAGCATCCATAGCTATTGTTAGCTATCCATTACTATCCCTGAGCATTCATAGCTATCCTTAGCTATCCATAGCTATACGTGAGCATCCATAGCTATCGTTAGCTATCCATGACTATCCCTGAGCATCCATAGCTATCCTTAGCTATCCATAGCTATACCTGAGCATCTATAGCTATTGTTAGCTATCCATTACTATCCCTGAGCATCCATAGCCATCCTTAGCTATCCATAACTATCCCTGAACATCCATACCTATCTATAGATATTCATGGCTATATCCTTTCCCAGACATAACTGCTCTTTGACTGGATGGTCAAGTAAAGTTATGGATAACTGGAGATAGTTATATGGATGTTTAAGGATAGTCACGGATAGCTAACGGTAGCCATGGATGCTCAGGTATAGCTATGGATAACTAAGGATAGCTATAGATGCTCAAACATAGTTATAGATAGCTAAGGATAACAGTGGATGGTCAGGGATAGTCATGGATATCTATCTAGAGCCATGGATGCTCAAGGATTGTTATTGATAGCTATTGATGCTCAGATATAGCTAAGGTTAGCTATGGATGCTCGGAGATAGTAATGGATAGCTAACGATAGCTATGGATGCTCAGGTATAGCTATGGATAGCTAAGGATAGCTATGGATGCTCAGGGGTAGTAATGGATACCTAAGGATAGCTATGGATGCTCAGGTATAGCTATGGATAGATAAGGATAGCTATGGATGGTCAGGGATAGTAATGGATAGCTAACGATAGCTGTGGATGGTCAGGTATAGCTATGGATAGCTAAGGATAGCTATGGATGCTGAGGGGTAGTAATGGATAGCTAAGGATAGCTACGGATGCTCAAGTATAGCTATGGATAGATAACGATAGCTATGGATGCTAAGGTACAGCTATGGATAGTTAGCGATATCTATAAATGCTTAAGGACATTTGTCGATAGCCAGTGATAGCTATGGATGCTCAAGGATATTTATGGATATAGTAGATGATGATGTATATCAGTTGATGTCTATGGTATAAGTAAGGTGCCTATATATGGATTCCACCATGAAGTAGTAACCTCTGCGTGTCTGCCTGAGTGTACAGCGGTCGCACAACGCACGCAGGCTCAGGAAGCACGACATCGGACCCGTTGATGTATCACTGTTCTTCTCTGTTTATAAAYATGAGTTGTCGTATTTACATGGGTCGTTTACCTTATGGGACGAGAGAAGAGCATGTGCGGAAGTTCTTTCGCTCTTATGGTCGGTTGAGGGAGATCAACTTGAAGAACGGCTATGGTTTTGTTGTAAGTTTYTACAGTAAGCTTAGACTACCATGTACAGTATGTCGGTGTCTGACATGGTCTGACACAAGCAGACTGCAGACTACTAGACCGTAATTTATTTGTATCCATGCATGCATGTACATAGTGATGTACATATGTATGTATTAGGAGTAGCCGACGGGTTCCTGGGAGAAATATATCTGTTCTTATGTCCCAGCCAGCTRTAAGTCACAACTGGTTGCCACCAAGAAATTCAGGAAAAAAGAACTCTCCAGCAAGGAATAATTTCTAAGAATTTTTGCCGAGATAATAAAAACTAAGAAAATGTAAGCCGTTTTTTGACCATAAAAACGTTATATAAGCCATTTTTGACCTTTAAAACGTTTGCCAGGAACAAAATTATTTTAAAGTATTAAAGAAGGGCGCCACATTTGCTCGTGAGATTGTCAGCAATGTAGCTCAAAATCCCTTTCCCAGGAAAAAATTCGTAGAAGAAAAGTTATTTAGAAGAACAGACCCCATCGACTCCTGATGTATTCATTTATTTCATGAAATTTCAAAAACTCATGCATAATTAATGAGTTAAACCAATAGAACGAGCCTATTTGGTCACATGCATGGACCTTTATATTTGATGAAACACTCCTTATTAGTATTCTTTATTATAAAGAATACTAATAAGGGTGACCTTTATCAGATATAAAGGTCYATGACCCTAGCAAAGGTCTCAGGTTTGAAACTTGATCATTGACCAATGCAGGATGTCAACTGATTACAGTAAACAGCCAACAGCAGTTCTATTTTACTTTATGTGTATTCAATGTGGGGTGAAAAGAGTGCTTTGTAAAGTGATTTGTGCATGATCAGTTTTTCCCCATTTATATTATATATATTTTAGCAATTTAGCAATTTCTCCAAAAATTTTAACAGATTTGAGTTTCAAATTAGTGTTGCAGTTTTTGAAGCAGTTTAAAACACTCTCTCTCGTGTTTTAAACTATACATAATACTATGTAGTTAATTAATAGCGGAGCTCCCGATCCTATATCTACAAGGAATGGACTTAAAGGGCTACTTGGACGAAAATTGCGAAACATTAGAAAAGACTTGGAAATCAAATAGACCTATCCATGGGTCTAATAATCATGAAGCAACAGATTTTTCAAGAAGATATTGATACAAATCCTTAATAATTTGGGCAAAAAATGTTGGAGTAAATGATATCAAAATTAAATACAGCAGGCGTTTACATTAACCAACTCACACGTCAACTTAGCAGATTTTTTCGCTTGTTTCACTTGTAATTGCATTTGCCGCCCGAAAAATTTCCAAAATTGTATACCGTGTGTGTATTAGAAAATAATCTAAGAATTATGCTCAAGTAATTTTTCGGCTGGCAAATGCAATTACAAGTGAAACAAAAATCTGCTAAGTTAACATGTGAGTTGGTTAATGTAAACACCTGCGGTATTGAATTTTGACCCRATAATGGAGAATAATCGATGACCGATTACACATTGAAATACTTCGATTTCGAGCTTGAAATTCGATACAGATAATATTTGKTAGCATGTCAATTAGAAAATCAAGTTCATTTTAAAAATAATTAGGTACCAGGAAGATTTTTCTGTCGATAAACATAGGGTACATATTTCAAAAGATTTTCACTACCRTGTGCAAAAAAGTCTCAGAAAAATATTTGTGTAATATTTTAGAATAACTGTTTCTCTAATTACATGGGCTTCCTGTGGAAGCTCATGTCTTAATATACCTTTTCTTCTATCTATCAACGTCGTGTATAGTCCCCCATGATGCTTTGCGAATTAAACCACAGGGATCCCAAAAGAATAGTTGTCACATAACAAGCCACAATTAAAAGTTAGATTAAGAGTCACTATTGTCTTTGAAAGTCGCGTTTTTTTGCATTTTTGTGGTGAATTAAAGACACCAAAGACAAGTAAATCCCTTGCTTTCTCAGCGGGAATTCTTGAAAATATATGTCATCAATTAGGGTTTGCTGGAAAAGAAAACTGATACTACAAATAGGGCACGACGAAGTTTGTAAAACTGATTTACCTACAAGCTATTGAGAAATATTAGGCATTGCTAATTTATATATTTCAACACAATGATTTTTAACTAAGTATATGGAATATTTGCGAATACAAACACATTGAGAGAGTTGAGAGCTACATTGCTTACATAACTCGGTGATTACACATTATGACATTACACGAGAACGATTTCGTAACTGTAAAATGTTT